AATTTAACAAAAGTTAACAGATAAAAGTTCTTAAAACTGAAGAATGCTTTGGTAGAAAAAAAAAAAAACTCCTCTTTTATGGTAAAATACTCACATACTTAAGAACAACAAAAAAAAATTTTAGAGGAAAAACACAAATTGCTGTCAGTTACTAAATTTGGTTATCTCATACAATTATGTCTGCTATCCCTGCATGTACAAATCCTATCTATCCTTCAAGGCGTAGCTCAACACTACTAAGAAAGAAATTTTAAATTTCACATTTGCCAATTAAGATATGCATTATCAATCACTTTATCCACTTAGGTAAAGCAGAAAGATATGCTAGATTGTGGAGCTGAGATTTTTAAGTTCGTCTCTAAAAAATTAAATCAAGTTTACGAATTCTTCTCACATTTTTTTTTTCATTTGACTTTCTCAGTGATCTTGGATGTAAGCAAGATCTAGTGTTATTACTTTTTTCTATTTTAAAGATCCGCAAACTAATGATTAGACAAGTAAAATAAATGACCCAAGGCCATCTTCTGGTCAGTTACTGAGTCCAGACACAAATCAAAGTCGTTGAATTCCAGGAAGTGTTCTCTTTATGTTATACCAAAGCTAAGCTGCCCATTGATTTTAGACTTTCTGAAAGAAACTTCCTGAATCCCATATGCCCAAATATGAGTCAAAAATAGAAAAAGAGAAAACAGAATAAAGCAGAGAATATTGTGAGCTGTATTGGATATGGTGATGGTCTGGCCTTTATTGCTAACTACTGTCATTTCTACTCCAAGTTTTTCAAACAGACTTATCTTCTCCACATGATATAAAATCATCTGGAAGAATAAAATGAACAGGTTCTTTGTCAAAACAGCTACAGGACTGGTAGGCTGTAGCTGTCTTTCTTTTCACCTATTACTATCCTTTCACTAATATTCACATGCACTGAGAGAGTTCTATGCATCCAGGCATAATGTCTGGCAGCGAGAACAACATTATCCCAACTTTGCCCTTGAGAAGTTTCTGGTTTGGGGAACACGAAGAGGCAAACAGGGATAAAAATAACCATAATGCAAAATTATTGCTTATAGAAAAGGCACTGGAAAGTAGTTCTACTAAAGGGCATGTAGGGAAAAATAGAGCATTTGAAGCAATAGCTGAAAAGTATCTTAGTATATGCTAGCTACAATGACATAATTCTGACATTCCCAGTCTGGAAAAAACAAATGTTGTTTTAGTTGTTAAGTTATAGCACAGTACAATATTCTATAAAAGAGATCCAATTGTCAAATAAATATAACCAAATAAAACTGCAAAAGTAGTGTGTTAATGTTTCAGAGCCAGTGACATTATGAAGTCATAGATTTCTGAAATATTTTCTGTTCTGAGTATACATTTTGTTCAAGAAATTCAATTAGATATTCAAGTCTTATTCAATTAGCTATTCTCTAGACTTAAACAGTGTCCACCAAATCCTAACAGTAACATTTAAATTGATGAGGCACATAATATGTCCTGGGTTGATAGTGAGCTGAGGTCTGAAACAGTTTCAACTAGAGTTTGCCTATTCCTTTTTAAGTTTTGTGAACTTGGGGTTTGTTTCTGGGTTGGATCTACGCTTGTTATGATTCTCAAATTAGCACATGTACTGATGTGCTACAGAAAAAAATAGCACATTTCTTCTACAAGCAAAAATGTTCTTTTCTCACTGATGGGGTGAAGGATGAGATGAGATGAAAGGCTGTAGGTTGGGTTGCCTAGAAAAATCAAGGATAAGTAATACACGAATTATATTAGTAAGCTGGACATGAGTGTATTTTAGGGTCTAAAGGAATATTCACTTAATTTTTAAAAATAAAACACTAGGATGAAAAACCAACAAATAAGCCTGTCCTTTCATGGGTCTCCTTTGGTTATGCTGCAAGAAGCTCTCCTTCATCCTTAGTTCTTGGCGATAAGCTGGTGAAAAGCAATGCTCTACTGAATTCAGAAGAATTCTAAACAATTTAAAGATTTTTAAGAGTTTGAAAGCCTTTAATAAAAATGCCTAGAAAAACAGATATTTTTAGCTTTTTACATCCTATATACTGGGTATGCTTCATTATTTCCTTTTATCTTGGGCAAACGTATTATCCTATTGTGGGTTGAGTCATTCCCACTTTCAGGATACCAAGAACCACAAATGCCTTGAGGGAAAAAAAATAGGTAGGTGGTGAGTGACTGTATCCTTCTCTTTTCATAACAGCAGCACACAGAGAACATCTCATTCAACTTTTAAGTTGGAAGATAAAAGAAGAGTGAATAGTATTGGGAAAAAGTATACTAATCTCTTTGAACATCTCTCACAGGAGTACTCAACAAATTCATTAGAAAGTCTCTTTTGAAAGACTCAGACTAGCTCATAACCAGTTCCAGGTTGCTCATTTTGGGGTGGTCCATGTGTGTGTGCTAGGATGGGACGCAGGAGGTCATTAGACAAGGTTACACTGCTGTTACTAGTCACAGGCAAATCCACAGAATGATCAGTTCCATTACTGTTTCCATTTAGGATGGGGTGTGCTGGCTTCTAGCTGTGGGTCATCTGCTCCACAGATTTGAGCTCTTAGTAACTTACATTGTATCGACTCCTTATTTAGTGTAGAGACATTTTCTTGCCTGAAATGAAACTTCTGCATCACAAAACATCAAACTTTTATAAAGGCCAGCTGAGAAAGGCAACTTATGATGGCTAAGGGGTTTAGTGAAACAAAGATACAGAACCCTTCATCTATATTCACAAAAAAGTTAGTTGTACACAGTAGATCATAAAATTTAACTACTATTTCAGTTAGTAGTCATTTTAGTTTTACATACTTTATATATATTTTAAAATATCGATAGCCAAAGTATGTAGATACGAAACAATCTATGAGAAAAACTCAAAGCTATCAGCCTTATCAGGACTTTGTCAGTGTACCTGGGGCAATTCTGCTTACCTCAAAGGCAGTTCCTTGCCCAGCAAAGAGAGATCCACAAATGAGAATACTCACTACAGAGAAGGCTATGTGTTCTTGTTTCCTGAACTGACTTCCAGGATACACATTCTTTGGGCTTGTCTAGGCCTGCCCTGTTTTTCTTCATTCTATTTTGTCAGTTTCTCCTCTGCTTTGTCCTTTCAAGTAGTATCTCTTTATGGTAACACTTTCCAGCTCTTTAACTTCTACAAATGTTTCTTAATCTACCTCCTGCATTCTTGCACTGCCAGACAGCCCCCTTGGGCCACTCCTCTGACTCAAGTGACATCCCCAGGTGTGTGATCCCTCCTCTCAGTCATGCCTAATGTGTTGTGGCTTTCCAGAGTCTGCCTCCCTCCTGGATCTGGGCAGACAGAAACAATCACATAAAATTTCTTAGGCTTAATTGCAGTGGCACAAAATACGTTTCCTGGTTTCACTGTCTTGAAAAAGCTATTAAATATGCACAGAGCTCCTAAAAATCATCTGATTCCCCAAGTCATGTACACCTAACACTGAGGAGTTGATTTTTGAAACTTTTCTGTGAAGTCACAGGAAAAAAAAAAAAAAATGAGTTGGGGGGAGGGGGAGAAGACATCAAATATTGATCTGTACCTTCTTAATTTCTATTTAAAGAAGCAAAGTAATAATAATCGAGAATTACTTGCAAAAATGTCCACTGCTACCAAGATATCAGATAGGATCTCTCACGAATCAATGAAGAACTTAAAATAGTGTCTGAGTTAACAGGGAAGATGATGCTCTGAGTAATTACCTTCTTTGTTTAACTCTAACTTTACAAGTAGCTAATTACATAAGTTTATAAGTTCTAATTACATAAGTAGCTTATGTGACATAGCCCAAGGTCAGCATGTATCTCTGCTTTGTAATCACCTTTGAAATTCTGTTTCAAGTGTGTCTAACTGTCCTAGTTGATGTCCCCCAAGTTTTTATAAATACTATGGTTTGGCATTCTATCTTAGGTTATACAGAAAGTTCTTAAAGTTTGTGGAACGATTAAGAAGGCAGAATAAATGTAGATGTTTCATATACCAATAACAACTACAGTTTGAAAGCACAGATGTAGAAAAGTTTCTACATAAAATATTATTTTAAGTATAAAAATTGAAATGTAAAATATTGACAACTCTGATCTGGCCCTTTCCTTCCCTGATTCTCCTGAGCAGAATTCTGATTGCCTGTTTCCTAAGCCAATTAATTAAAAAACAACATAGGTCTGCATAACCAAGCATTTCCCAAAAACTCAATGTTAAACCAAAGATGATTTTCCACTGTCAATTACAGTTTTCAGACAACCGCTTGCACCCCACAGAAGGGAAAACAGTATAGTTATATAATCAAGCAGGTTCCTATCTCTGAGGCTTCAGAAGTTTTGATGGTTGAAATGGTTTAGTAAATGGGTATCCATGCATCACACAGGCAGTCTCATTTTTAAGCCTTAAATGAAATTTTCATCAGGAATAATAAAGAATATATGATATATTTTTACGGGCCTAAAAATGTCACAAAATAAATTCATGGTTTACAAGTATTTTTATCATTTGGAGAATTTGTTTTCCTCATTTATGTCACAGAAAGTTAAAGTAAGTCACAGTTATAAGACCTTCAGCATTATTTTAAAATATATTAAGGTGTTAATACATAATCTTTAAATATTTACAGTCCATATCTTGTATCTGAAATACTCTATCCCATAGTTTACTATAAACTTTTATTTATCAAACCTTCTATTATTTGATGTTCCTAAAAGCCCGGGGTTGATTTCTAAAACTCACTCCAAATTTGCACATTCTACAATACATTTTTCATTTACCTTTTCTCTCAAATGTCCATGACGCTAAGCAGTATACACTGTAAATATTTTTCTTTCTCTATGTATTTGTAAAAGGAACATTCATTTCTTTAAAATAATTTTGAAGTATGTTTGTGTAAATGTTACAATCTACCTCTTAGATTATAAATCTTAGGGAGTAATGTCTGAGTCTTTTTAATATGCTTTCAATTAAATGTGCTGGCTTTCTGAATACATCTGAAAGGATAAATGTTCTTTTCAATGCAGAGGAAAATGACAGACATTGCTCTAGCACAGAGTCAAAGCCAAAGGAACTATAAAGCACACTTGGGTGTTCATTGTGCAATAATACATTTTTAATAGCATGCAGCACAATGTCAAATTTCAATCCTATAAAATGACCACAGAAAAAACTCTTTATCTTCCCAGGTATAAATGCCATACCAATGTGAACAGAGTTTAAATTCTGTTATATAATCCAATCTACCAATAATTAAACCTAAGTTTAATATTTATGAGTTTGTCCATGCAGAACAGCTCTAAATCCAATCTTTCCCTATAACTCATTTACCAAATAAATGACAACAAAAAGAAAAAAAATGTGATTTTTGGAGGGTTCCAGGAAACATGTGTCTCTGAAATGAAAATGAAGTGGGTTCATTCTTGGAACTATTTAAGAATAAAGTTCCTAGCTAAAATACGCCAGCATTCATCCTAACAGAGGACAAGTAAAGTCAGAGTGAAGGGCACTATAATGGATTTTTCTTAGAAATTCTGAGCACAGAGTTTCGTGTTATCACAGTTTTCAGGTTGCCATTTTGGCACTGTTTTGAAACTGTAGGAATTGTGATTGGTATTGGTTCATGAATGTCTATGCATATTCCAATACTAAAACATGGATTGCTATTGTACAAACTGCACAAGTTGTAAACCCAGATCATATGTAGTGGAAAACTATTTTGTTTATGTTATAAAACTAGCACTGAAACCAAGAGAGTAAGAAGGACCTGGATACCAAATGATGTGTACAGAGGCAGTGGTTCTTTGATTTGAATGGTCAAATTTTATTTCATATATGCTGTCCAGCAAAACACTTCCTGAGATTATCTGGATATCTAATGCTGCTCTTCTTTCTGTACCATAGCAGCATGTACAATCTTCTGCTTAAATTTTTAAATCTATCTATCTATATATATAAAAAACAACATTTAAAAATGCAAGCACCATTCTTCTATATCCCTTATATTACTATATTTGCAAATGCCCTGCCCTTTACTTGTTCTTTATAAAATTCTTTACAATTTCTTCTTCCTTCCTATATCAGAATTTTATCTCTTAAACCTAAAGCCACTTACATTGCCCCTACTTAAAAACCTTAACAACTCTCTACTTCCTATGGCAGTGTTCCCCAAACTCACGACATTTGGCAATCCCTTTCATAATTTTTTACCCTTTCTTTCATTGCCCTGTACTACTATTTGTTTAATAGTTTTCTTTAGAGTTCCTTTTATAACTTAAAAAAAAAATTTGTGCCCTTCCACAGTAGAATCCAGCTTATCTTGCTATATCAGTCAGAAGAGAACCAATTATGTCAGAGTAACAGAAGAGGTCAGATTGCAGTGAGATTTACAAACCCCAAGGTTAATGCATTGCTCACACCACAGGTCTGCTTCAGGTCAGTTATGCTTCTGCTCCACATTTTCTTCACCCTGTGACCAAATCTAATGGAACACCTTCTATTTTAGGATATGGCCAACTATACTGAAGAAGGAAAAGAGGACGTGGAAAATCTTTGTTTAAAACTCCATGCCTTAAAGCTTTGGTTCAGAAATGACAGGGATTGGTTCCACTCTAATTTCCTTGGCCAGAACAACTCATGTGGATAAGACTGAATGGGCCAGGGAAATACAATCCTTCCCTTGGGAGTGGCAGCAGATATTTTGAACAATAATACAATCAATCAAAATCACACTTGCCAAGAATAGAAGATGGTTACATAAAAATGGAATGAAAAGAACATTATTAATTTCTAATTAGATAATGTTTCCTGCCCAAGTGTTAAAATCATGCTAGCCAACTGATTTTCTTCTTCACAGACTGAAAATATTTAACTCACTATGTGACACAATATCCTGTCCATGTCCAGGTATCACATAAAGCCATTCACCTAAAATCACTGGCAATATGATTCCCACACCTATAAAAATGTACCTATAAAAAACAAATTAAAATCTCTAAATAAGGCTCTTTAACAATCTGATCTAAACTCATATTTCCTGTATTGGCGCCAGCCATACATTTTCCTTTCTCTTGTTCTCATTACTTTCTCAACACCCTTTTTAATAAATTTCAAGCTCCCCAGACTTCATCTCTGCTGTACACCTTCTGATGCTTAATTGCTCCAATGTTTGATGAACCAAGGTTCACCACTGTTATCTTACATTCACCATACACATGGAATTCAAACTTTGGCTTTTATCCTTATAATAAAAATCTTAGTCTTATTTAATCTTCTTTAGTGAGAAATAACTCACAGTCTACTTTTCAAAGGAAATATGAAGAAAAATTTTAAAAATGTAAAAGGAACATGGGTTGACTAGAAATATTAGCTTTTGACTAAAAATGAAAGGTAGTCAAATATACTATGAATATCATTACTTGGATAAAACTGTTTAAAAGTGTTTATTTATTATTACAATTGAATATCAACTAAGACATTCAATAAATTAACATGGAGGAGGGAGATAAATTATTCAGAAGTGTTTTGGTCTTTTGATTTGTAGACTGTGCAACATAAATAGTATCAGAGTCTGCAACATAGTCACTAAATCCAAGGGAATCTAAGTTTCTGAACTTGAAAAAGTAATAGCCTAAAGGCATGTGATCTCTGAAATTATTTACAGGTAGATGAAACTTCCAAACACATAACATGCAGCCACAGATACTAAAGAGAATAATGTACCATAATGACTTCTAGTTAAGCAGTAACATGAAGAAAAGTAGAATTTTAAAACTCAAATTGATTAAAATATTCTATATTAGATACTATACTTCTCTCTATAAAATTTATGTTGGTAAAAATTAACTTTGAGCTACACTGTTATTAATTTAGGAGCACAGCTGGAGTTTTTCTTATCCCTATGTGACTAGCTGATAAAAATACATCAATCCTGTACATGAGTACCTTAAGATAATGATGTGGTTTGTTAATAATAAAATAAATTTCATTTTCTAAATACAAAAGTGATATCTCTTTTCAAAAAATTTACAGAGGTTACAAAGGAAAATGCTCTGTTTTTGCTATTTGATATAGTTTTGTAATACATTTGGTCTTATGCTATCACCATAGATAAACTGCTTCCCTGGCATATCAGTGAATATTTTCAGGAAATATGCTGAATATTTCTTCTAATAATTTTTAGCCAGGATGATGATGATGATGATGATGATGATGATGATTATAGATGGAGTCCTGCTATGTTACCCAGGCTAGCTTTAAACTCCTGGGCTCAAGTGATCCTCCTGCCTTAGCCTCTCGGGTAGCTAGGACTACAGGAATGTGCCAACTCACCTAGCTTCTTCCAATAATTTTTAAAAAGTGTTTTTCATAAAGTATGGCTCCAAGCAATATTTTTGCGGTAATATACTGAAGCACATGTTTAAATTTTATTTTTAAACTGTTTTTTAGTGTTTTTATATTAGTACAGGTAAACATTAACGCTTTGTGTTCATGTAAATTGCATTACTTCAATTTTTTCCTTTTATAAGTTTCCTTTCCTGGAAATAAGTATGGATGCAAAAGATGTAACTAAAATGAAGTGACAGGAACATCATATCCTCTCATTTATAACTGTGATAATTTTAAACCCTTATATATTTTTATAATTACTGATTGAATGCTTGATGTATATAAAACACCAAAAGTTTAAAAACAGTGCAGAATATAGAAATTAGAATTTATAATCTAGAAGCAAATATACATTCAAACACAGATTGCTATCATATAAAAATATAATTATCATACAAATCATACAAGGATCATTCATTATTCAGGGGTTTTGGATGGTCATAGTTAACTGGCTTCCCCAGTGGCAATTTTTCTTCCAATGTGGTCTGATTCACATCAAAGATGAGACTTAGACGCCGACTGATGTTGAACACCAGCAGTTTATTCTAGCAGTGCTCTTACAAGTTGGATAATGGGAGCAGGTGAGCGGCATGAGCCAGATTCATTCACGGATCAGATGACCGCCCATCCAGGAGGGCTTCCATCTGGAGACTATTCTCAGAGCTTGGGGGATTCTTCCCCTTTCTTATACCTGTGTTCAATCTGAGTCAGTTACCGGGTCTTTCATTCATAAAACGAGGTTAAGCTAGTCTTGTAAGGGTAACTTTGTTCAAAGGTTTGTAAGAATTGCATCTGTACTGAGGTGGACGTGTCTCCTGGAAATCCCCAGGCCAGGTTGCCTCACACTGCTATGCTAAGTGGCACATAGTGTCAGCCCTGTGAGGTGTTCCAGTAGGACTTAAATGGCTATCATTCACCTTATAGCCAGGAAATGTCTCTTATAGTATGTGACAACCAGCGGAGTGCTAGAGGGCAGCAGGAGATAGAATAAGCATTGTTTTCTGGGGCTTATCACAGAAACTGCAAGGAAAAAGGAACATCTAATCCGAGCAAAAAATAAAATAAAATAGATTTCAGGCAGAGATCAAGGAGGGTAAATTCTAGACAGAAGGCACAGTGTGAGAAAAGACGGGAAATTATAACAGATATTAGGGTAATGACAAGGGGTTTAAACTGACTAGAATCTGTGTGGGAGAGCGGTGAAATGCTGGGAAAACAGACTGGGTGTTACATCAGAGTGCAGCTTTGAGAAAAATATCTCTGCTGAATGAGTACAGAAAACAATGAATTGCCAAATAGGGAATCTATCTAGCTATTTTAGTGTTTCTAATTACAGAGTGAAAGTGCTGTATTATAGGAAACAAATACTGAATCAGCGCGTTAAGAAAGTGTCCCTCATTGGCAACACTATTTTAAACAGTCAGGAGGTTTGAAGTTCCAGAATAGAGTATTTATGGTTTCGTATAGATGCAGAGTCAGGAGGTAGGGGGGTGGATAAACAGACACAGATAAATACAGAAAACAAACAAACAAAATAAAACAAAACAAAAACATTCTAATGCCTGATTTGTCAATAACATACTTTGTTTAACTTAGAAACTGGAAACTACCTGAAACTAAAATGTGTATCTTTCCACTACTCAATTGTTGCCCCCCTAGCAGAAGTGAACTTACTGGCCTTTTGACTTTGAGAAAGTCATTCAGAACCTCTAAGTAAC